TTGCAGCAGTTTTGTTCTATCTCACTGTTACCCATTTGAAACAGGCTGCAAAGAGAATAGTGGATTTAGAATTCTCAAAAGTAGATGCCTGGCTTTTCGCATCCAGATCACCAGTGCAAAGCTGTATGTGTGTTTAGTTTGTGAGTTTCTATGTATGTGTGTACATGCACTCACATGTATGCACACATGGAAGTTCTGCACGTGTCACATGTATGCAATGCACCCAGAAGTATATCTAGGTTTTATGGGGCCCGGAGTTTATAATTAGGGGGATGCAAACAGTTGTAGGGCTTCTCCCAAGGTCTAAGTAAGTGAAGGCCTCCGAAACTCACTAGCTTTGTGGCAAACCCACCTCTGCACAGGCATGTATGTCCATGAGCTGTGTATGTATGCATTCAGATTTATGGAGGCAGCATTAACAAAAGCTAGAAGCACCTTTTACGGTTAGGACTAGTTATTTCTTTTCTGGGAAGACAGAGAAGATTTATCAAGAATTGAATGGGCCAAGAATTTTCCGAAAAGTGCCTTTTGAATTCAAGCCAGTGATCATTAGCTAAGTTAGATATGAGTGCTTTGGCTCACACTCTTTATTTTCCACAGCAAATAAATATAACATTTTTAAATGCCTTCTTTATTCCAGAGATCTTTTTTTACTACTACTTTTCAGATATGATCTTCTGCCCATAGGAACATTTTAAGGGTGTACCAAGAGAACAGGCCGGGTGTTGGTGGACTTAGAAGACAGTAGAGGTGAAGGAGGATGGGATGCCGTCTTTATTTATTTAGAAAACAGTTGTAGACGGGACACATGTTCATGCAGCTCCAGAAGCCAAAACTAGGAACTGAAATACATGAGATTCCAGGGGGGCCTGATTCCAATTCAGCAGAAGAACTAACAACTAGAGCTGTCCAAAAATGGTTTGCTTATGTTGTGGCCAATTGCCCATCACTGAAAGTCCTCTGCCAGAGCCACTTCTTGGCAGGGGAAGGGGAGGCAGGGGACTTTTATTGAACACAAGTTTGAGTCGTTATAAGAAACTATTAGAACACTCTCTCAGTCTAAGATTCTAACCTGTTATCAGGCAGACGCTATTATTACTGCCAATCATACACACACAGAATGTGTCACGGATAGTTGGGTTTCCCCCTAGCAATGACATGTTTGTGCTGGGCCTGACACATTCCCTGGTTGCTGAGGAAACATGTCGGTGAATGGACAGATCTAGCTATGGCCATACTTCACGGCCTTAGAATAAAGTGCTTTCCTGGCCTGGGAGCTCCGGCCCTTGCTCCCATCCATTAGCCAGCTGTCACAGGTGGTACCTATGAATGCCATCTTAACTGGCTTTCAGAATAGGCTTACAGTGTAGATAAGAAACTGGCCAGGTTCCATCATAAACAGATCCACAAACAACAGGTGCTGGCGAGGCTGTGGAGAAAAGGGAACTCTAGTCCACTGTTGGTGGGAATGCAGACTGGTGCAGCCACTATGGAAAGCAGTATGGAATTTCCTCAGAAAGCTGAAAATGGAACTGCCTTTTGATCCAGCGATTCCCCTGCTGGGACTATACCCTGAGAACACCAAAACGCCAATACACAAGAACCTATGCACCCCAATGTTCATAGCAGCACAATTTACAATAGCCAAGTGTTGGAAGCAACCTAAATGCCCATCAGTAGATGACTGGATCAAAAAATTATGGTACATATACACAATGGAATACTACGCAGCAGAAAGAAAAAAGAAGTACTAAACTTTGCGACAGCATGGATGGAACTGGAGAGCATCATGCTAAGCGAAATAAGCCAGGGGGCGAAAGACAAATACCATATGATCTCACCTATAAGCGGAACCTAACCAACAATGCAAAGAAGCAAGGAAAATATGACCAGCAACACTGAAAGGAAAAGAAATCAACAGAGACAAGAGGGAAGGGGGGGGCAGGGAAAGGGAAGGGAAGGGGAAAGTCAAGGAACATATAGCAAGGACTCATGGACAAAACCAAAGGGGAAGAACTGAGGGAGGGAAGGTGGGAGGAGGCAAGGGAAAGAGGTGGGGGGAAGGCAGAGACAAATGTATTTAAAAAGTAAATAAATTAATTTAAAAAAAAATAAAAATAAAATTTAAAAAAAAAAGAAAAAAGAAACTGGCCAGGTTGAGCTTGATTTGCTGCTCCCCACCCCCTCGGCCAGGTTTGGGATGGGAGGCCGAGGAGAGCTGGCACTGAAGGCCTGGGAAGGTATGGGGCACAGCCCATGTCAGCCCCGCTGTGGGCTCAGTCCACCAGGCCAGGGTGAGGTATCCGGAGGGGCCAAGAATGGGTGAATGGCCTCAGTTAACCTTTGCCCTTTCTGGAAGAGAAATATAGCTCTCATTGACCATGACCCAGACACTCTTTCTTTGTTCAGTATGTGAAGCCTCCCTAGGAGCCACAGGTCTATCCTAAACCTCTTTAATAATATCAATAATAATAATGGTGGTGGTGGTGACAGCTGAGCTCACAGCCACAGCTAGTGTTTGCTTGCTGAGCACTTACTGTTTGCCTGATGCTGTGATGAGCCCATTACTGGGTTATCTTCTCAACTCCTCATAACACTCCGTGAGGTAGACGCTGTTTACAGGCCATCATCGTATAGAGAAGGGAACTGAGTGAGGCCTAGAGGGGTTGCAGGACACACCTGAGGCGCCAGTGTGACTCCACAGAGTAGACCCTTCCCCATCCACTTTAGTGCCTCTTTCTCTGTACACGCATAGAGGGATGGGAACACAGCAAATCAAGTGACCTGCTCCCTCTCTGCCCAGTCTTTAGCCACCACACCTCAGGACTTCTCCAGCCCCGGGAGCGGCCTCCAAGAAGAGGTTAGGGTGGACAGTGCACTGCACCCTGCTCTGGGTGCTTTGAAACATTCCTTTCATTTACTCCTCACAGCAAACTTCTGAGGTGGGTGTTGTTTGCTTTTTGCAGAGAAGTGCAGGAATTCGTTCAAGGTCACCTGGGTGGACGAGCCAGCGCTCCAGCCCAGCAATCTGTGCCTTCCCACCACATCAGCTTGCCTCTCTAAACGAGCAAAGTTGAACACCCTCACAGACACTAAATTTATATTTCCTGGCTTCCCCTTCCAAAATGGATGCACTAATTACTGACCCTTTTTTTTTTTTTTTTTTTTTAGTGATAGTCATCATCAGGAACACATTTTTCAATGTGTGTTCGTTTTCTCTTCTGCATACTACCGAAATAAAGCATCACTCAAACCCACGGGATAAAACCCAGCAAGCGTGAGGCCATGTTAATTAAGAGAAGTTTAGGAAGACATTACACTAAACCAGAAGAAACAAAGTGTTGATTAGGGACTTATTTTTGTAAGCGATTAAAATATGAATCATTAAAATAGGACTGTATTTCAGGCTCTGTAGCCTCATCTCATCGGAGACAGCATTCCCATGACTACTCAACTGCGATTAGATGAGCTGGCTCCGAAGCCTTCCCAGCTCCAGAACATTCACGTGTGCCAGGACTCCACCTTATAAAGTACTTCGTAAAAGTCTGATTCAGAACACCTCTACGTCGTCTTGCCCATTTCATTAAAAGGAAATACCCAAGTGACATGGTGTCTTCAGCTCTTTTTAGTCTTTTGCTTTATTGAGTCATAATAGTAAATAGTGGCAGTAAGTTATATTAATAACAACCAAAATTCAAAGGCAGAGGAAGGAACAAAGCCAAAACAAAGACGTAAGATACCTCAGGAATCCCTTAGAATAGAATATTATAGAACTTTATTTAGTATCAGTGGAAGTGGAATAGAGGTTTGCACAAAGAAAGACTTTGACATGGAGCATTTCTCAGTTTCAAAGAAGAAAAAATAATTTAGCAATATCCACAGCCCTAAATATGCAGTTAAATTATGTTGTTAATTAAAGAATCTGTTTAAAATAGCTAAAATTAGAGATAAAAGCCCATTGTTGCTATAATTGTTGACTGTGTATCTGTCTGTGGAAGGGCATGGGGGGACACTCAGGAGACTGTGGTACTTTAAAGATTAATCGCCCATTCCAAGGGGTTTTGAGGCACCCACCTTCATGTTGAATTTGGATCTAAACCAAGAGGGTGGTACAACACCACGACAGGTTTTTTTCTGTAATAAACTTCTCGGTGCACACTTCAAACACCAAATATATCAGAGGGCCCCACCATTCTCTGCACGGGGCTGATACCCAAAGATGATTTCCTGGAAATTGTGGAGCCTTAGAGCAATGCTTGTGTTGCATTTTTAAAGGAGGGAAGCATCCCAGATGTGCCAGTTCCCTCTACAGTCTCTTCAGTACTTTGCACCTCTGATGGGATTGGGTGGGTAGAAAAGCATGTTTTTGCTTTGCTGTGTTTTGTTTTGTTTTGGAATGATTTCTATGAAGAATCTATGAGTTGTCACTGGAACATTAAAACTCTTTACACTTAATGACTCATACATAATTCTTTGAATTATCTGTAATGCAAGCAGATATAGATGTGGAAAGGATATTTTCACAAAAGTAAAGGCAATAGAATTAGGACAACTCACATTTCAAAAAAGTCTACTACATCCCTGCAAAGCACGATGATTATGCAGCTACTGGAACAGTTCAGAAATGTGAAAGGACAAAGAGGGATACTAAACTGTGATAAGCTTAAATCTAATTATATAACTACAGATAGGATGAACAGGGCTTCTTCTTAGTGATAGAATTATAGATGACTTTTGTTTTCTTCCTGGTTTTCAGCATTTTATGAAACTTACTGTACATTTCATAATCAAAAAGCTCTATTAAAAATCACATGTCTCTGACCTTGAGTTCCAAGCTGTACATCTTGTGTGTCCCCTATAAGCTCTGTGAGAGTAGGTATCATGCCTGTCTTACTCAGGTGATATGGCATCCTTAGCACAGTGCCACACATAGAGTCAAAGCTCAGTAAATAGTTGAATAAAATATTCCCATTTCTTTATTTTTCTTTCCTTCTTTCCAGGTGATGTACTCTATGAACTCCTTCAGCATATTCTGAAGCAGAGGAAACCTCGGATTCTTTTTTCACCATTCTTCCACCCCGGAAACTCAATCCACACACAGCCGGAAGTCATACTGCATCAGAACCACGAAGAAGGTACCCGAGGTGATTTCTCTTGCGTTGCCTGACACTTAGACATATCCAAGATGTTTCGTTGCTAATTTGATGTTGTTCTTTTTTTATGTGATTCATTTTTTGGTCAACAAACAAATTATAGAGTGCTTGCCTTGTATAAGACCCTGGGGAAATGCCAAGATGAAAAAGTACTCTCTTGGTTCTGTGCAACTCGCAGTCTAGGTGAAGCAACGAGAAAGATATACACGTATAATAGAAGGCATCCTAAAGAGGTAGTGGAAGGGGAAGTACATCCAGGTGCAAGCAGCAGGGTCAGCATCACGAATGAGGTGGCTCTGGAGGACTCCTTCATGGCCCAGCAGGATTCAGATAAGCAGGGATGAAGTGGGGAACATCCCAAGCAGAAAGAATGACACAGGATGGCGTAAGTCCTTGGACTAGAAAGAGTCAGCTGGCTTGGGTTGTAGAGCTTACCTCCCCTCCTCCCAATGGCCTTTGTTATGAGAAATTTCAAACATACCACAAATAGGGAGAATAAACTAAATACACCCCTGTGAGCCATCACCCTACTTCAACGACCATCAGCCCTTTGCCTCTGCAGAGCTACTTACTCCAAGGAAGTTAAATTGGAAATAGAATGTGGAGAATTTTGATGGAGGAAAGTAATGGGGAGTCACTGAAGATCTGTAAGCAGAGGATAATAAAAGCTGGAGGAAGAAAATAGACCCAAACCCTGTGAACTCTGGGGGGAAGGAGGGGGAGCAGGGGTTTCCTCTCCTTGCACCAAAGGCGGCTTCTTGCAGTGTCCTCAGTGTAAGTACTTGCTTCAGCTGTCCTGGGTGCTGCTCTTCTCCTGTGAGTCACACTCATCATAAAAGTTATTGATAGAAGATGGAACAAAAAACCGTACTTGAATTGTGGCCCGAGACATAAGTTCCACAGCAGGCGTACGGGTATGGAAATAGGGTATAAAAATCATACTTTGCTCATCATTCCATTGAACAGTGGTGCCTCTGTTGGAGCTTAAGTCCATGTGTTCCTCCCAGGTTGTTTAGACAGCAGATGTGGGCACTCAAAGCAATACTATTAAACTTGTATTTTTTCTTAGGACCAGATTACTAGGGGATTAAAACCCCAGTCCCTTGGGGTATTTCCTTAAATTGATAGATTACACCCAGGAGCAGGGCTATTATTTTTGTTTTGTTGTTGGCAAATTTTTTTAAAAAATGAGAAGTTTACTTAATTAACACTTCACAAAAGAGATCCTGACTCCAGGCGATCAGCATGTCTTCCCTGTGCCAAGTGTTTCACAGAAAGTGCCCTTGCTTTCGTGATGGGGACGTGAGGAGTGTTTCTTCCACCTCCCTGTTTCTCTTATCCTTTCTTCTTCTAGTTTTACCCTTGCTAAATTTAGCAGCTGGCCCCACCCCAAATGGGTTTCTTCATTCTTCTGCTCTTCCTGCATGTACATTTCCTGCTTGCTTAATAACCAGCAGCTACTCCAGAGGAGAGGAGGTGGGTTTACTGAAGCTTGACATTAAGGCGAGAATCATACTACCTTGCCTGCCTCTTCAGATAGAAAGGGTATGTGATGGGGTGTTTTTTTTCCCCGCTCTCTCTTTTTCTCATTACTTAAAAAAAAAAAAAAAAAAAAAATCCATTTGGAATTTCTATTCCTCTTTTTGTTCCCAAATGTGATTGGAGACTAATGGTCTCACCTCATCACAAATTCTGCCTCCTTTCTCCATGGCCTGATTTGACTCGTAAGTAGGCGTGTTTGCCATTGTTCTCATTTGCAGGAGCTAATCAATAGGGAAAGCTGGCTTACTCTCAGAGCTCCTCTCAAACTGAGTAAATACAGATGTGCCACGACCTACGCGGTAATGAGCTGTGCTCTCAAGTGTTATGACGGTGGTGGTGATGAGCTCAGTAGGTAAAAGAATGAAGTTAATGAGGCCAAGGTCAAGGGCTTTGTCACCCTGTGAACCAGTTAGCTCTGCTTCAGACCCAGCTCTTAAAAGAATGGTGTTCTCAGAGACCATTCCTTAAAGCTGTCAGCCCAGAAACAAGATCTGAGTGTTCGTGTGCTCTCCCGTCACCTGTTCAGATGCAGGCCGTGCTCTCAGATAAACAGGTGGACACACAAGAAAGGAAGTGTAGGTCTTTATCAGGTGGTAGCAAATGAGAAGAGCAGTTCAAGGCACAGAGATGATATGAAGAGGCTGTCTGTCCCTAGACTTCCAGATATATTGGTGCCTTTGGTGATAAAGGAACTGACTAGAGAGGTGAATGGACCAGTACAAGTTCCCTACCCCCCCAGCCACCTCCCACCTCTTCCCTTTTCTACCAACCAGAAGAAGTACCCAGCTCAACATGGACTATTTCTGGAATCAATACTGTGATATTTACTTGTGGCTGGTAACACATTAATATGGGCGTAAGTTAACGTACAGAAAGAGCTGGTCCTGGAAAAAAAGGTCTGTAAAGTGAAATTATGCATATCAAATATTACATCCCCAACGATTTATTTACATAATTGGGGACCCAGTGCCATGTCAAAGCACGTCATTCTTGACTTGGCACAGAGAAATATGACAGAATGAAAGGAGAACAGAGGCATTTCAGAGAGGGCCCCACTCATCCCCTAAGGAGGCTGGCACAGTGAGGCGTGCAGGGCGAAGTGCAAACACAGAGCTGCATTCAATCCCCCTGTGACTTCACGTCTTCACTGCCACCCACTTAACCCATTTGGACCGTCATAATTTCACAATGGGAGTTTATCATACAATACAAAGGTATCTTGTTTAACCTAGCAACAGTCCCCTGCAAATACCCCATCTGAGTACATTGCGTTGAAACCGCGCTTCCCTTGCTAGCAGCCACAGGGCAGCCCCATAAGCCGGAAGCTGGTGTTAGCTCAGAGGCCCCCCTCCAGGCTCTGACAGGAGAAGAAGGGTATCCTACTAATTCACACTCCCTTTATTTTTTTTTATGTATTTTTTTTAGTAAACACTCATCATATACATATCTGTTCTGAAATTGTGTCATGCCTTGGGCAAAGCAGTCATCAGACAACCACCCAGGTGTAGGAGAACCAGTATTTCCACTCTTTTTCCTTATTTACTTATGGGAAGAGAGTGCAATATTATATAACTAAGGTAACCTTCTAATTTTTCATCCACACCAAGCCATTTTTGGCATTGAAATGGGACTCTAATAAATAAGCTAAGGCAATAAGCATAAACCAGAACCATCTCTGATAAACTGGGGCACATGGTCAGCTTAGATAGTCAGGAAACCAGTTCTAACCCTCAATTCTTCCAGAACAAACATGAGGGCTTAATTTCCCACATCTCTGGCCCTCAGTTCCCCCAGTTGTAAGATAAGGGATTAGACTAAGTGCTCTTAGATCTTACACCTCTCAAATCCTCACATTTCACCAGGGCCCGAGCCTCACTGGGCAATAATGAAGATGAATAAGATACATTCTCTACCTTCAGGGTCACGGCAACTAAAATCTGGGAAATCCTAACAGTGTCCTGCCTGGTGTTGCTCAGAAACAGCTGAACATTTCTCCTAGATTCCTTTTCTTTGATTGTTGTGACCCATTTTATCTGCATATTATAAATTAGATAGTTTTGTAAGAAGGAGACAAAATAAACAATGATACTACTTCTTTCACCAAAGCCAGGAGGCAAAACATCTTTAGAAATTTCAGACCAGCAGATTATTTTAAAATAATGTATCTTGCCACACACAGTTGTAATATCAACTTCTTTTAATACCTTAGGTTCCAAAATCACTAGCTTTTAACTCCCATGGAATATATAATAGAAGGGCGTTGTCCCAAAGTATTACATTACCACTGATCCTTTGGTGTTAGAACTACTTGAATAGTGATTCCCTAAAAGCTCACTGAGTGATATAAAATATTCTTTCAGTCTGGGCTAGTCTCAGAATGGCAGAGTTTACCCCTTTCTGCCTGGACACGTGTAAGTATCTAGGGAAAAGGAATAAAAGCTCTATCTCCTAGATGTTCTTAATCCCACCAGCTCTTTGGAGGACCCTCCTATAATTTCAGCTTCAGTTCCATCCTCTCTTGTTGTGCCCCGTCTAAGAGACTGGGAGATGATTTTTTAGTCACTTTAATTTGAAAATATTTATACATGCAGTGCTCTGATTGTTTCTGCAAGAGTGGACACAGTTTTGAAGGTAAAGTTCTGCTCTGGGGCAGCATTTTGTCCCCAGGTGGGCATGGAAAGCGGAAGTGAAGGTGAGAAACTTCAAGTGTCGGAATACTGTTTTTCTCAATTCTCCTTACTGCCAGCACAGGGTAAGAGAGTAGAGAGAAATCATGTCTTTGATGGGGGGCAGGATCAAAGGCCTGCGTTCTGGGATGGCCCACAGAGTATTTATTGATATGATTGCTTTCTTAAGGGAAATATGACCTCTCCCCACCCTCACACCCAGCCTCCCAATCCAAGTGCCCAAAGACTGTTTTGGAGGAAGAAAATCTTACACAAACTTAATGAAACAATTAAAGAAGATGAGGTATATGAATCTGCTTGATAACAACAAAATGAAAGCTAACATTTATTGGGCACCCTCTCTGCATGTAAGGCCCTGTTCTAAGCTCTCGCATGTTTCAATCATTCCATCTTCACAACTAGCCTTTAAAGAAAAGTAATATTATTCCCACTTAATAGACAAGGAAATCGGGTCTAGAGCAGTGAAGTAACATGCCCTAAATCACACAGCCACCAAGGAGCAGCACTAAATTTTAACCCCAGGTCCACGTGACTCCAGTGCCGGTGCATGAATGAGCCACCCAAAATAACAATTTCATTAATTTTTTTTTTGTAAGCACCCTGAAAATGGAACAAATGAATGGATGATGAGTATGGCTGTAGAGATCAGGATGCTAAGTCAGGTCTCCTGACTGGGGTACACTGTGGCAGGTCCCAGCATGCCCACTTAAAATTTTTCTGCTTCATAGTACTTGTAACTGCCAAATCTAAATGAAAAGTCAA